CCGGGCGGGGAGCTCTCCTCCTCCTCCTCTTCGGCTGAATGCGCATGCGCGGCAGGAGCTGCGCGCGCATTCAGCCAGTCTAATAGGAAAGCATTTAGAATGCTTTTACTATGGACACTGGCGTCTTCTCACTGTGATTTTCACAGTGAGAAGCACGCAAGCGCCTCTAGCAGCTGTCAATGAGACAGCCACTAGAGGCTGATTTAACCCTAACAGAAACATAGCAGTTTCTCGGAAACTGCTATGTTTATAAAAAAAAGGGTTAACCCTAGCTGGACCTGGCACGCAGACCACCTCATTGAGCTGAAGTGGTCTGGGTGCCTATAGTGGTCCTTTAACATTGGGTATTTCTAAACTCAGGACAAAATTTAGAAACTATTTAGCTCAGGTGTTTTTTGACGGTTGTAGATGCGTAACATATTTTGGGGGTCAAAGTGTTTTGTGTTTTTTAAAATTATTTCATCATATTTTATATTTTTTTTATAGTAAATTATATGATATGATGAAAATAATGGTATCTTTAGAAAGACCATTTAATGGCGAGAAAAACGGTATATAATATGTGTGGGTAGAGTAAACGAGTAAGAGGAAAATTACAGCTAAACACAAATACAGCAGAAATGTAAAAACAGCCCTGGTCCTTAACGGTAAGTCAATTGAAAAAAGGTCTGGTCACTAAGGGGTTAATGTTGTGGCTGATCGGTGTATATACCTATAGCACATTCTACCATACATGGAACTTATCTTAATATAGAAATTAAGCATGGAGCATCTAAAGTTTATATGTTTTATTGACGCAGCAACACATTTTTGTATTTGATTGATGTATTTACCTATCAGTTAAATTGCTGCAGGTACTGACGTTCTGGACACAAAATGTGTCTGTGAAGCTACAGGGGTTCTGGTGTCTATAGTGTCCATTTAATCACCTGCTATTAATTTTTTTAAAATTTTTGTTTCCATTAAATAACGTGCTATCTATGCATAATGAAATTAAAAATATATTTCAAAATTACTTTCCAGGATACCCGAAACACTCAGAATCTAGGGGTGTTTTTTTGCAAATCGTTTGGCAGTAAAGGTGTTAACAGACATGCTGGTGATACCAGGCTCCCGCTCTATGAGTTTGTGCAATAGAAGGCTGGAATGCTTGGGAGGAATGCAGGGGAGGAACTTGACATCCATCAAAAAGTTAACATTTTCTCTTACAGTTGTCCTTTCCTTATGCTCTATGTAGCTAAATGACTACATTCCCCATTGTGATTTGATTTTTTTAATTTTGTTATCTTTTCTTCCTTGCTCCAGATTGCAATATCCAAATGCCGCCATTTTTTTCTCCTCTGTTTATGTCTACTATTTGTCTTCTGTAGGATTCTTTTGACCTTAGTAACTGGAATTGAACTTTGCTTAACCTCTGCCCATTTTCAAAGGTTGCCAGTAATCAAACACCCCATCAGAAAATAATAAGTAAAAAGTCCTTACTTTTTCTTAGGTGTAACTAAAAACACTAAGGTGACTTTCAAATAAATAAATACAAGGGGATATAGAGGGACAAAAAAAAAAAGCTAACCGCAAACTGACAGTTCCGTTTTAACCCCTTAAGACCGCAGGGCGTTCTATGTCGTCCTTAAGGAAGCGGCTCTAAACGCCGCAGAGCGGCATAGAATGCCCTGCGATCTTATGTACTTACCCAGTCGCCGGCGATCGCAGTATGGGGACTCACCTGGGAGCCCAGGGAGTCCCCCTCCTACCTCTTCAGCCCCCCTGGGCCATGTGATCGCGAGGTCCTCGTAAAATGTATTAAAATGTATTACAACAACGATATCGTCAGTGGAAGTGACATTTTTTGCACACAAATGGCACTTACACTGACAATATAATTGTTGTGATACATTTTACTGTTTTGAAACACTAATATTTGTGTTCAGCGAAGTCTCCCAAGTATAACAGTACCCCTCATGTACAGGTTTTATGGTGTTTTCAAAAGTTACAGAGTCAAATATAAGGCTTGCGTTTCAGTTTTTTCACATTGAAATTCGCCAGGTTGGTTGTGTTGTCTTTGAGACCGTATGGTAGCCCAGGAATTGAAATTACCCCCATGATGGCATACTATTAGTAATAGTAGACAACCCAAGGTATTGCAAATTAGGTATGTTCAGTCTTTTTTTTTTTGGCCAGTGTTTGTGACCAAGTGAATACTAAAAAAGACTGGACATACCCCATTTGCAATACCTTGGGTTGTCTACTTTTGCAAATTGCATGCCATCATGAGGTAATTCTCTTTCCTGGGCTACCATACTGAGGGCCGGTGCAAGGATTTTTGCCGCCCTAGGCAAAAGTAAAGTTTGCCGCCCCCCCATGTGACATCACAATGCCCCACCCATATGATCTGCCATGTTAACTAACGCCAGTGCCGCGGTGTTTACATTAAAAGGCCTGCAGGGACAGGCTATAGACACCAGAACCTCTACATTAAGCTGCAGTCTGGCTCCACTGGTCTGGTGTAGAACAGGCTCTCTGGAGGCGGTTTGTAACTGTGGTCACAAAAATCAATGTTCTGGGAGAACGGGAAGCAGCTCCATTTTTTGGGGGCCCTTTACACAACTCAAGGTCTGGGTCCCAGGGTCCACCTTCATGTTCCACCAATGAGTTTGTTCACAGGGGGTGGAGTGTGTAGGGGATGTCCTGATGTGTGTAAGGAATGCTGTGTTTGTATGTGTAAGGGCTGCGAGGTGTGTTTGTGTATGTATGGGATGCAGTGTGCGTCTGTAAGGGATGCATTGCGTGTGTGTAAGGGGTGCATTGAGTGTGTGTAATGAATGCATTGTGTGTTTCTGTGTATTGCTTGTGTATGTGTGTCTGTGTGTGTAATGCATTGTGTGTTTTTCTGTGTGCAAGGGGTGCATTGTGTGTGTGTGTGTGTGATGGATGTCAATCTCCCCCACGTCAATTTCCTTCTCCCCCCTTTCCAATTTCTTTCTCCCCCCTCTCCAATTTCCTTCTCCCCCCTCTCCAATTTCCTTCCCCCTCCAATTACCTTCTCCCCCCTCTCCAATTTCC